TTTTTATAAGCCTACTGGGGACCTGGTTCATCACTTAACTGAGACTCCCAGAAAGCATAATGTTTGTAGTTTATGCACCTAAACAGTGTTTGACCCTCAGAGCCTTCCTGGTGTTTGAATGAATGGGTTGCTAATTCCTGTTCCATATTTGGAATTGACACACTCTCCGTGATGCAGTGAACATGGGGTCCCTGGCTTGACCAGAAGTCTAAGGCTGGCCTCCTTGGAGGGCATCAAAGATCTGCTTTTTACTTACAGTGGCAGAATTTTCAACAACCAAATATTGTGATTAGGAAAAACTTTCAATTACACAAATAATCCAATTAAGCGGCATTTTTTAGAAGATATTATATATAATAAGCATACTTAGTATGATAAATAATAGGTTGATTCTGAGAAGGAAGACTTGGGATATAAAAATATAGCTGTTACCCTTGACCTCTGTGAAATTGAACTTGGTTCTTCAAATGACCTTTGAATTATCTGTCATTTAGTAGAAGTGGCACTCACAAGAAGGGAGTCCACATTTTCCACACCAGTGAAGCCAAGTAAGTATTGGAGATCACTGTCAGTAATTGATTGCAGACCTAAGAGACAGTTCTCCTACCTTACAGCAACTCCTGTTTTCTCTTGATCTATTTATCTATCTACTTTGACCCCTCAGAGTAATCAAGGTGGGTACTTCAAAGGAAAAAGGTAAAAAGGGGAACATGCTAACCCCATTTTTTTTTTTTACCTAGGGTGAAATCACACACCTAATGTGCGAACCATAAATCACTCTGTCCTGAGGGAACTGTGTGAAGGGTCGAGTTCCTCTCCACTCTGATGCTCTTCTGCATTGATAGTCTTGCCTGGTTCACGGGTTTTCAAGTAAAAGCAGTAGCAGGGACCCACCTGGTGACACAAGGGGTTAAGTCTCAGCACTATGAAGCAATCCAAAGCTACTGCAGCACGAGTTCCATCCCTGGCCAGAGGGATGACCTACATGGCGCAGCAGACTCTCCTGTTGAGCCTGCTGCTCCCCTCAACATTGTATTTCATCTGTCCACCTGCACTGCTCCCCATTCTGTCTCTGGTGAATCCTCTCACCCCCTCACACCTCTGACCTGTACCCCAGTTCTTGTATGTATAAATAAATAAGCCTTAAAAAAAAAAAAAGCAGTAGCAAAATGGAAATTTGACTTTAGAAGCCCGGAATAACTTAATCTTTTGTCTGATTTCTGATGATTTGCATTTTGGTGGGTTTGGGATCTTACTTCTTCCACTCCTGGTTAAAAAGCATACCTGTAGGCTTCTTCCTGTGTGAATCCAGCCTTAAAGTACATGCATATGATCACTACTTCCTCTTCCTCTGCCTTCAACTCCAGCTTCCTCCCCAAGCCCTCCTTCATCATCTCTACCCTTGTTCTTTGACATCCAGGCCAGTGAGATTGAAATACTCTCAAGGTCAGAAAACTTACTTTATCTTTTATCCTTCAGGCTCCTAAAACTTTGACAGTAACAGTGTATAGGTGTTAAACTGAGTAGAACTTGTCGACAACCACAGAGTCTGCTACTTTGGGTCCCACCCTCTTCTATATCAGGGTGACCAGTTAATTTTGTCTACAGGCCCCTTGTCTAAAGTCTGAACTCAGAGTGAGCCTAGCTCTGGATAACTTTTCACATTATTCTAACTTTGCTATTAATTTTGAAGGCCTTCTTGAGGCCAGTCTAAAACCCTAGTCATTGTTTAAAATAATTGCTGCTAACATTTAATAAAAAACATGTGCCAGACATTGTGCTAAAGAACTAATCCTGACACCAATACTAATAGGTAGGTAGTGGTATCCCCTCTTTATAGAAGGTTAAGTGATTTATTTTTGGTCACAAAACTAAGTGTATTTCATCGATTGTAAGCATGTATTTTTTTTTTTTTCTTAAAATGTTGGTAGTGGATGTGCATCTAATGGCCTATGGGAGCATGAGAGGAGCCATGATGGATGGATGACACTGGCTTTGGCTGTGTCTACCTGGACACAGCTGCTCATACTGTCATACGTTACTTCTTTTACTTACTTTCCTGGTGCTCTGTATCTTGAGTTTAGTTACACATAGGCTGGTTTTGAAAATAGAGTAAATGTTTGAGCCAAACATGCTTGGTTTTTCTCTCTATAACTCACTTATAAATTAGACTCTCAGCACTGTGAAACCACTGAATATCAGACAGGTCTGGTAAGAGAGAAGTGGAGTGTGCTTGTCACTTTAGTGAGGCAAATATTTATCATGGGAGGGGTAATTAATTCCATATTTTCTCACATAACTTCAATCAACTGCTTGGAAAGGAAGATAATCACAAAGAGATGAGCCTCTGTCGTATTTTATTATGGAGATACGTGCAAAGCAAAGGGACTACCAGGCGCATGTGATGGCACTGTCTTGTCAAGAAGAGCCGAGATGCTGCCAAATCACTAAGTAGATTAAAAAAAAAAAAGGTCAGTGCAATTGGAGGCTGTTGTGCATGATTCATGGGTATCTCAGAACTGTTGTCAGGACATTGTGTCATCATTTAAATGCAAGTGTTTTTGTCACTGATAATAATATAATGATGCATCTTAACAATCATTGAAGTCTTGAAACAATGAAGTTCATTAAGTAGCAGATCCAGTTTTGAACTCAAGCAGCCTGGCTTGGAGATTTCACCTAGATCCACTGCCTCCTGGCTTTTATTATCTTCATGGGAAAACATTTGCAGGGTTTAAAGGAGTTTACAAATCAATTTTTGGAACATAGCTTGGTTAATAGTGAGTGATGGCTGATTAATGAGTGTCACACTTAAAGCAGAATCCTCTCCAGCTTCCCATGCCTCATGACCTGAATTGGTATGTATTTTAAGTTAGCCACATCATAATCAATCACACAACTGACCCACCAGACAGCAACTTGTATTGTGTTTCAGTCCCTGATTTCTAATGGGAAAAATTAGAAATGCTTCCCATCATCAAATAAGTCCAACTATTGGGGTTGGCAGAGGTACAGACTATTTCCCTGTTCTTACCCCTGTTTCAAAGCTGAAAGAGATTAACACAGGTGTCATACAAATGGGGATTGAAACATCAGAATCATGATAAATAACTCCATTAGAAGACAGTATAGATATAGATCCAGATTAGGCGGCTAATAGTTCCCCTCTAAATTTTTCAAACTTTGAGGCTAGGGGAACTGATCAAAAATGTGTGTAAACAGCCTAGTTTTGCAAAAGAAAGAAAAATGACCAACTCAAGCATGCTGTTTCCTGCTCCATCGCACATATACACCACTACGCTGGGGAGGCTTAAATGCGGAATAGGGAGAGGGTAGCTGGGATCTCATTCTGGGGAAGTGCTGACCCTCATGGAAAGTATAGGTCACAGGAGAGGGGTTCTCCCTAATAACCACAAGCGTTAATGTCAACACCACTGGGCACAGACTGCCGATCTGTATCATTTTCTTTGTTCTGGCTCAGATTCAAATCACATGATTGGACTGAGGGGGGTTGGTGGTGAGGTTGCATTTAATTTGAACAGGGCACCATCATCTTGTTTAGAATCTCTTTGCAGTTTTCATTTAGTTGAATTATTCCCATTCCATTGGTATCTTTTCCAAATTCCATTTCATTTTACTTAAGATTTGCAAGAATAAAAGCAACCTACTTTTCTACTTGGGAAAGCCTAGAGAGATTCCAAATCTCATTGACTGCTGCCAAAGACATGTGATAAAAGATTAGTTTCACCCTCTGGATCCTGGCAAATACCTGAATTATTTCACACATGTCAAAATGTTATCAACCCCTGCGTCTGAGCTTCTCTACTAGATTTTTATCATGTTATTGTAAGTCACTATATTCTGGGTCTATTTTTTCATTTTCAAATAGGCCATGGTTTATGTATGAAGTTTCTCAGGTATTGACCTTAAAAAATATATAATTACCTCCACATAGTTAGCATTCTAACAGGTGCATTTTAATTTATGTTACATGTATTTTGATTTTATTTGTGTACATTTGTCTAGTGTCTTTTTGCTGAAAACATAGTACAGCCACAATAAAACCTACTGATTTATTAATTACTTCAAGAGTGATTCACAGAGGAAGCTGGGCTTTCAGATTAATACCTCATTTGTTTGCATTGCTTTCTTCTGATCATGAGGCTGGCTGCCTGTATAAATTTTGGCCAACCTAAGCTATTTATTCCTAGTTTCCTTTTACCCATGGAAAATAAAAATAAGCTTCTTGTAATTACCCTTAATTGTAAACTCTATAATGTATGTTTAGTTTGTCACCAACTCTGTTGGAACGAGGAACTGGAAAAATGTCACAGTCCCCCCCCCGCCTCATTGTTGAGCAGATGTAAGATACACAAATCTTTGCTGGGCAGCTAATTGGAGGTCATTGATTTGGATACCTAGAGAAGCAGAAGATGCATGGCTTGATGTGAGCAGGTAGGATCCACACTAGGCAGCAGATCACAGCTGGGAGTCTTTTGAGGTGCTCCCTGAACAACTCTCCAGCTTTGCCCTGATCAGTGATGCTCTCCCTTTCTCATCTACATGTGCCATGCACAAGTCTGTCCTTCCTAATGATGCCTTTCTTACCTCTCCCCTCAGTCCCATCTCCAAATCTAGATGTCGGCTCTCACTGATGTCCATTTTTCTCTTTTACAACCCCTGTTACATTCATTTGCCTCTACCCTACAACTGTGTGGAGATGCATGACCTTATTTGCCATTTCAGAGGTGCATGGAATTGACTCAGGCTATGCCAAGAACTAGCCATGTGACATCATGCAAGTCATATTTGTTATGTCCACATATCCCTGGACACTGTCCACTTTCAACTGAATCCTCTGAGAACAAAGACAGTGATAAAGCCAGTATAGTAGGGTGTGTTTCCTACACATTCTCTTCCCTGCTGAGAGGTGCTTCTCCAGCTTGATTCCTATCTGCCGCTAGCTTTCCTTTTGGTTAATTTCCATTTTTCTATTCCAGGGCTGGGAGAGGGGTCTGCCCTCCTTCATCCAGATAGCAGATCCCACCCAAGGTCCTTAGAGAAAAGTGCCTGGAGGGCTTTCAAGGAGTCACAGTGTCATCACATGCTGAAACATCTCCACAATGGCGCCAGGATCACTGTGCAGATGCCACCTGCGATCGAAGGCCACTGGGTATCCACTGGGTAAGAGGACCAGGACAGGAGGTGGCAGGGTGGGACCAGAGGGCATGTTTCTATGGAAGCTCCTTGGGGCTTCTCAGATGCCTAGACACTATATATATATATATATATATATACATGCCTGGCCCTCTGTATCTGTGTATCTGTGGATTCAACCAGCCATGGCTAGAAAATCCATGTAGTTAGATCTGTGGGGGTTGTGTCTGTACTGAACCTGTACAGATTTTACTCTCTTGTCATTATTCCCTAAACAATATAGTATGTTAACTGCACAACATTTACATTGTATTAGGTATTATAAGTAATGTAGAGATGGTTTAGGAAAGATGTGTGTAGGTTATGTGAAAATACAACACCATCATAGGTAAGAGGCTTGAGTATCCTCAGACTTTGGAATCCAGAGTGTCCTGGAACCAGTTCCCCTCAGATACGAAGGGAGGACTGTATGATTTAGATGTAAGTGATTTATATTTGTCTGAGTTCTAAATGGCAAGCAACTTTTTGAAATTCTGCTTAGTAAAGAAACAGCTCAGTGCGGTAGAAGTCTTAGCTAAAGCAGAGATGATACTGTGCCACTGTTCACCATGAGGTGTGAGTGAATGGGTCCTTGTTTACCAAACTGTGGGACTACTTGTGTTTAAAAAGAAACCATTAGCAAGGAAAATCAGGAGTCTGTGTTTCAACAACTCTGAAACGTGACTTATGAGTTTATGATGGTCCAGATATTATAGCCATGTTCTGGTAATTTAATATGGCTTCAGGGTTCTAATAGTAAATTAAAAGGTACTCAAACTACCTTTAGTAGCCAGGGCATAGTTCTTGGATTCTTTTCCAAGCTGTAGAGCTGAGATTTATCCATTTGAACACTGGCTTATCTTCCATTAGAGCTTTTAAAAATAGCCTAGAGACAGACCTGCAGATTTTATTCTACTCCTTAAATTGTTGAGAATTAACGAGGCTAACTGTGGGATCTGATCCTTCTACTGAGCAGCCTCCAGATACCTTAGGGAGGGATCAAGTGAATACAGAAAAAGACAAATTTTATAAGACGATGAAGACCCAGACTTTTTTCTTCTAAAAATGGGCTTTCTCAGAATAGCCAGATGATGGATCTTTGCATAGTCTTAATGTGATGTTCTTTTAAATAATTTATCGTTTTATTCAGCAAATATTTATCAAGTGTATACAAACATATACTGTGTGCCAAGAACTATTCTAGGTTCCTGTATAGGCTGTGAACAGAACAGACACAACCCCTTTTTTAGAAATTTTACAAATAAACACACAAAGTAGCACCCTGAAGAGGGGAAAACAACAGGTGCTAAAGGAGGAGACCAGGAGACCCTATTTTAGGATGGGGTGGGGTTAGGAAAGGCTACCAAAGAAGAGGACACTTGAGCTGAGATGTCCTTGGCTCTCCAAAGCCTGACGGAAGAGCTTTCCTCTGGAAGAACTAGCAAATGCTGGATTGGCAAAATCACTGACCCAGAGCCCTATACCTGGGCTGCAGTATACCAGGGAAGAACAACCCCCAAGAAGCCTGCGAGGAGGATAGGGCTTCAGGACATCTTGCAGGCCAGGTCTCATCATGAGTTTGGCTTTTAATCTAAGAGAACTAGAAAGTCATTGAAGAATTTTCAACAGCAACCATGCTTAAGGCATAATTCAACTTCATTAAAAGCACTTTGGCTGCTCCATGGAAAATGGATAGCAGAAAAAGCGATTTGGGGATGACCAATTAAAAGTCTGTTGCAACAGTTCTGGCTCCAGATGCAGGAGTCTTAGGTGAGGGTGGAGGTGGGGCTGCAATGGATTTGAGACATGCTGAGCCTTGGAGAAGGCAAAATCAACCATCATCAGTGTTTATTACATCAAACACTAAAATGATCTGCTTATCTAAAGTGATCTTATTACTTAAAAATAAGTGATATTATCAGGCATTAATCATTATTAGGCTCACACTAAACTTCCCTTTTCTTGATGGCAGGGGAATCCTGAGTCTCCTTTCACTCCTTTTTCATAGATGAGGGATGCTCAAAGCCTGGCTTTATATCCAAATAGTGTTATTTGACATCAGTGGACAATCTTTACCCAATGAAAGGTATCCACTCTGAAATAATATTGTTTCACCAGTTTATTAACTAAAATGTAGAAATGCTAATAATTTTGAGCAGTACTGGCCTTTGAAATTTCAGCCCTGTTGCTTGATTTAGTAGTGCTGGGTGGGTATGAAACAGATGTATTGTATATGATATATATGTATTCTATGTACTATATTAAATGTATGTATTCTGTATAATTTACTATGGACAGAAGCAGAGTTATAAGGTCAGAATTAATGAGATGGAAATCATGATGTCACTGAGAGTAGGATCTAGTGCCAGGTTGGGAATGGATAAGGTCTCTGGCCAGTGTGTCAAAGAAAAGCCCTGCCTTTCTCCTGTGGGCTGTGCTGCATGGATACAAGTCAGTTACACCCCTGGGAGGACTGTATTGAGTCAAAGCCCACTGAGCTCTCTGTGCTCTGTAGACACAGCCCAAGTGTCTTTGGCCTAGGAATCCAGCCTTTACCTAAGCCACAGGAAAAAAAAAAAGTTGTCATTTTCCGCAACACAAACAATAGAGGTGCTATTTCTGTTATGGTGGTTTTTCATTCCCTAATTCCCTTTTTGTTTTTCTGCTCAAAGAAAATTCATTTTGACTGGGTGAGGTTGAGGTTCTGATTGCCTCCAAGTGACACCTCCCCAAGAATAGCCTGTTTTAGGATAAGAGACATCGGGCACTGCCCTGCTCTGGACAAGGTGCACGAAATGGAAGTGTCCAGGAAGGCAACCTTTTTAAAACTAGCATCAGGGCACTTATTTTATGGGCTCGACTATGTTTTTCTTCCTACCAGAAAGAAAGAAATATCACTGTAAGTTGGGCCCACAGGTGAAAATGGGTATGGTGGGTTTCTGCTCTTTGGATTGTTCATAGAATGAATGAAAGAACTTCTGGGGTCAAGTGATTACTTAGCATAGGGGCTAGAGCTGGAATGTCCAAGTTCAGAGTCTGGCCAGAGCTGGGTGGTTATGTGACCGTGGTATGTTAACTAATTTCTTGTGCCTCAGTTTCTCTATGAAATGTGAATGATCATGGTACCTACCTAGTTCATAGCTTGCTGTGCGGATTCATTCAACTGGTGTTTATAAAGAACTCAAAACAGTGTCTGGCCCAGCATAGGCATTTTATTATGATTACTCTTACTACTGTAATGAATCTCTTCTTCCAGCCTGTGGGCTAAGGAAAAGTCTTCTTTCTCCTTTTCTTCTTCTTCAGCTGTGAAGTGAGGTCAGGCCCAGAGTTTATCACAAGGTCTTACAGATTCTACCATAACAACACCTTCAAGGCCTACCAGTTCTATTATGGTGGCAACCGCTGCACAAGCCCCACCTACACCCTTATCATCCGGGGTAAGATCCGCCTACGCCAGGCCTCCTGGATCATCCGTGGGGGCACGGAAGCTGACTACCAACTCCACAATGTCCAGGTCATCTGCCACACAGAGGCTGTGGCCGAGAGACTCAGCCAGCTGGTGAACCGCACGTGCCCAGGCTTCATCCCTGCCGGGGCCACCTGGGTACAGGACGTGCCCTATGACCTGTGGCGGGAGGAGAATGGCTGTGAGTGTACCAAGGCCATGAACTTCGCCATGCACGAGCTGCAGCTCATCCGCGTGGAGAAGCAGTACCTCCAACACAACCTGGACCGCCTGGTGGAGGAGCTCTTCCTTGGCGACATTCACACTGACGCCGCCCAGAGGATGTTCTACCGGCCATCCAGCTACCAGCCACCCCTGCAGAATGCCCAGGTACTTGCTGTAGCTGCCCACCCTGCAGCCTCTTCACCATTAAGTGAAATGGGTGACCCTGCGGGAAGGCATGTCAGATATCAGGGGGACCTCAGAGAGGGAGAGCTCTCGCTCTCTATTGGGGATGAGCAGAGAGGAGACAGCTCTGGGGCACAAATGTGGAGCCAGAGTCGGGCTACGGGTTGGCCACCAGCTTGCACTATGACATGGGCCTCTGATTTCCTTTCTGACTTGGGTGGTGGCAACGGAGTTGGTGGGGGTCGAGCTTGCTGTGGTTCAGTATAGCCATGCTTTCAGGATCTACTTAGGAACTTCCTAGTTCCTAGGGCTCGCTTCAGTTCTAATATTGTAGGAATCTCTTCTATGAATATGAGAGGAAAGCTTGAAGAAAACACGGAGATGTTTTCTAATCACAGTGGGGAAAGACAGTGGAATAACAGTTGTGTTCTCGATCCTGGACCAAAGGCCACAGAGGCCACAGCCCCTGTAAAGATCTTTGCTCACATGACACACCCTTACTGGTGATTTAGCTTTCTGTGGTTCCAGTTACAATCTTCCAAGCTCTGAAAATATTTATATACGGTAAGATATTTTGAGAGAGACAGACCACATAATACTTATTACAGTATATTGTTATAATTGTTCTATTTTATTACTAGCTACTGCCATTAATCTCATATTGTGCCTAATTTATAAATTCAACCTTATTCTAGGTAGGTGTATATAGGATATTACATGATATTTACAGGCTTCAGTGCTAAGCTGGGTCTCAGTATCAGTACGGGTGGGGGGATTCTTGGGACATGTCCCAGCCATAAAGGGAGACATCTGGGCAGCTTTCAGTCCTCACATGGACCTGTGAGGCCAATACCACCACCCTCTTATTCAGAAGAAGCAGAAAGGTTCAAGGGGTCCTGCCCAATGTCCCTTGGCTAGTGAGTTTCAGTACTGACATTTGAACCCCAAACTTTTACTGGACCCCACACTCTTTCCATTTGACTAAGTGAAATGTGAAGTCACTGTGATCAGAAGGGAAGACAGAGCGGGCAGGAAACAATTAAAACCTTATAATGTTCTTTTCTTGAATGATAGTCCAGTAATTATATTTGGAATTCACAAAGCATTTCCTTCCCACAGACTGAGACTCCATGTCAGCATGTAACTCGATCCTTCCCACCATGGGAGCTGGGAAGTTCAAGGCAGGGAGGTGTGAGGGCTCTGGTCACAGGGGGGCAGGATGGGCAGGGAGTTTTCCTGGAGGGGCTCCCTGACCATCAGACTGGCTTTTGTGGAATCCTCTGGAACAGTTTGGTGGTTTTTAATTTTTTTTTTTTTTAGTCCTTTGAGCTCATTCATGACTGGTGGAGATATCACAGGGTATTTCCCCTGCCAAAGACCACTGGTGTTATCTTCTTTTTATCTGTGTTATTGTGAGCTCGTGTAATGAAAGTCGCCTTTATTATAATTGTGGGAAATCTGCTGAGGAAGCTAGCTTGGCGGAGGCTGCTTCCTGTGGAATCAGCTTGCTGGGATGGTCCTAGCCCCCAGTGTGAGGTGAAGCAACTGAAGGCTGAAGGCCTGGACCCCACTCTCCCTGGGCGCTGCACTCTGGCTGTTCTTGAAGCCACTGGGGGGAGGTCCCCATGCAGAACCAGAGCCAAGTCTTCAGTGTTCCTTCTGTCTTTAAACTCCAGGCACCATGAGAACAGGGGAGTCAGTGCAGTAAGGGAGGGTGGCTTGCCCACCTCCATCCCAGGTCCCCTCTCAGGTCAGGGTGGAGTTCTGCCTGTCCATGCACAAAGATGGTTGAGGGGAGGTGGCTACAGTCTGGCTCCTGGGCAAGTGGTGTCTGGGGAGGCTGTAGTGGGAAAACAGATAGGAATTTTGGGCTTCCAGCTCCATCGTGGGGCGTTTCCAGTTGTTAGCATTGTCCAGAGTCAGCAAGCTGGCATTGATGCTGTAGCTAAACGACACTTCTGAAATCCCTAGTGTGAGATAACACTGGGGAAGGGGGGTTTACATGCCTTTGGCTTCCTTGGAGCATCATCTAGCCAACTTTTAACTGGCCTCTGTAATGGGAGGTAAGAATGTCATGAATAAAAATGGTGCATAGATAAGGCAGAAACCTCATGTGAGGCCAAGATCACCAGCCCCTGCCTCATGCTGAACCTTTTCTGAAATCTGCTAGGCAAGCAGAGGCCTTTCAGCCTGGCTCACCCTTCAAGAGAGACACTAATGAGCAACAAAACAGCCCAAACTTGGGAGCAGGAGGCGAGGGAGGGAGGAGGGATGGGAATGCAAACTGGGCGAGGAGGAGTTTGCCTGGGCTGGAGTCTGACTGCTCCCCACTCACCTGCTCCATCCCTGACCTTACACAAGTCATTTGCTCACACTCAGGTCAAATTCTGTTTCCTCGCCTGCAGATGCCCACTTGAACACTGTTAGTACTGAAAAAAAAATTAAAAAGGATTATGCATAACCACCTTTCTTTTCTTTCTCTCTACCCTCCACTCTTATACTGCTTGTGGTGAGGTTCTTCAGGAAGAAGCCTAAAAGGTAAAATTCATATTCCTGAGACTTGCAGCTCCAGATGATTCTCTCCTGTTCACACCCCTACTTCTCACGCTGGTCAGCGTCTCTCGCTAAACAGAGCCTGTCAGTGGGGAGAGCAAAGCCACACACTTGTGTCTCTTGAGGGAAAACTGTCTTGAAAGTGAGTTATTAAACATTGGCATGGGAATTAAAGATGACAGTTGTAAGACTGACCTTCTTAGAATTCTTATAAACAAAAAGTTGAAAAGGCTTTCCCCCCCTACACTGCAGTCTCAGCTATGGGGTGTTGGGCGTTTTGTGATGCCCAGCTGTAAAGCGTTTCCTCCCGTTTTCCCCTCTTTGCTCTCTATTCTGCTGAGGCAGTTGGGGAATATTAACCAGAATCTGATAAATGCTGGGCCTAACTCCCTGATTTAAGAAATACTAAGGCTGGAAAAAACTGTAGGAGCTTGGAACTCATGGAGGACATATAGTTAAGTGAAAAAGAAAAAAAAAAAAACAAGGAACAGACGAGCATGAATATCCTAGTACCATTCTATAAAACTCAAAATGAAATTACAATGGAATCACTATTTCTGGAAGGACACGTAGGAAACAACAGTGATTGCGGCTGAGGAGGGGGCAGTGGAGCAGACTTGGCACTGTAGTACCTCTTTGTACCTTTTGCAGTTTGCACCATGGTCCAATATATTATCTAAACACCATCAAAATTAAAATAAACTTAACAAAGCAAGGACTCTTAGGCTCAAGGAGTGCTATGGTTACAGATGAAGCTGGTGGCCGGGCTGAAGCACACAGGCAGGCATGCAGGGCCTGAGGCCTGTGTGTCTCTGGGAGCTGAAAGGACCCCTTCTTCTCTTGCTGTCCCCGGCCTGTAGTCTTGGCCTGCAGTGCACATCAGAGTCCCAGGGATTTTTTAGAGCCTTCCAGGGATAGCTAAGAGAAGGAATTAATGGGATTGGTCACTGGTGTCTTTCCAGACACAGCAAGCTCAAAGCCGCAGGTGATCCCTGCCCTTGCTGCCTGACAGGTCAGGTTGGCCACCCCACTGGGAACAGGCTGGAGGGAGGCCGGGCACACATCCGGAAAGATCCACAAGCCAGCCGCCCCCTTCTTTGAACTTTGCCTTCCCTAATTGCAGGTCCACAGAGACCTGGCTGAAAATTAGTTTAAATGCTAAATTAAGTTTGAAACCACTAGTCTCGACCCCTCTGGAAATGGGACACCATGTAAAAATAGAAACTTTAAATCAACTTGTTTTTCTAAGCTTTATACAGCTTTGCTGTGAGGTTCAGAGTCCTTTGGCAAATAAATTATGTTTGAAGAGAATCAGGTGTGCTGGGAGGATTCTTTCAGGATGAAATTTGGCTACTCTTCATTAAAAGAAATCAAGACCGCCTGAAAGAACCTTGAAGGAAGATGGTTTGCCTGCCTGAATTTTTCGTCAGGATAGCCATTACTCTGCTTGGATTCTTAGGCAGCTGATGGGTTATCGAGGCTTATTCTTTCAGTGGTAGAATCAAATAATTAAAAGCAAATGATTGCTAGGGTCGCTGGAAACATTAGCGCCTCAGGATCAGACTTGTAAGCAAATAGAATTGGTCTTTCTCCAAACGCTGTACTGATTTAGCCACAGAGTCATAAATCACAGGGGTTGCCTGAAAACCAGACAACTTTCCCCAAGTCCTGTATCTTGAATATTCTACAGCAGCGGGGCTGCCTGTCGGAAGGAGAAAAGCACCAGTGTTTTTCAGAAGAGCTGAGCCTTGTAAATGAGGAAAAAAATACTCGAGTGCTTTCTCTCTTGAATTCTGTAGAAATCGCTAGACTGTAAACTAGCATTTGTTTTTGGGGAGCTTACTTTCCAAGTCTTTTCAAAGAATGTGAAAATCCTATGTTAGCAATGAGACTTCCTGATCTCTGTGACATCAGGGGAGCTTTAGGCCAGCCCAGCTGGGGCCACGGGTCTGCTGCAGGAAGGGGTCTCTGCTTAGGCATGTGCCTGGCATGGCTCCTGCATGGGCAGGGGAGTGTGTGTCCTGGACTAACAGTAGAAGGAACCTGCTGCTTATCAAAAAATTCCTGTTGTTTCTCTTCTGCCAGCAGGAAAGGAGAGTGGTTCAACGAGGCAATGGTAGATGGAACAGGTGGAGGAGGAATTTCAAGGAGTCATGACCTAGAACAGTTTCAGAAGCCCACCTTAAAGAAAATTGTGGCCTCACTCACTGGGGCTGGGTGTTTACTATAAAGCAGCAAATGTACATTATGTGAAAAAAAATGGAGCTGGGAATTGGGGCAGAATGATGGGCTTGGGCTGGAAAGCCATGCTGTGTGGATATTTTATTTGGGCCAAGGTATGAAGAATCACATCGCTGCCACACTGCATAGCTGCTGGTGTGCATTTTAATTGCAGAACTAGTTCCTTAAATTTCTTGATTCCCAGCATA